TAGGTTCCAGCTGCAACAGAACCCAGCACACGCAAGGGCAGAGTTGCATGGGCATGCAGGGGTGTAGTCTATCGAGAAAGAGGTGAAGATCCGCCCAGCAGGGCTGAAAATTAGAGGGTACGTTGTCCCGCTCAACTCCATTCAGCAACTTCCCAGTCTGCAAAGCACAACTCAGCTTCACGAAATAGCTTCCAGGGTTGTGGGGTTTTAAAAATCTTATCTCTGATCATTGACTGGAAATGCAGAAGAATCCTGTCGGCTAGTGGTTCCCCATTCCAGCGCTAGGGGTTTACAAGGGGTACCGTGGAAGCTGCACCATGGCTCCTCCAGAGGTGCCCTCTGCAGGCTCTGTGCCAACTACTACCCTTATTGCCAATAGTTTAAAAGGGCCACAGGACATCAGGCAAGAATTAAAATGACAAGGCTGGACCCCTTCACACAGAATCCAATTGGATCTAAACTGGCAGACACTTAACTCTGTGCTAAAAGGAGAGAGAAGCAGAAGAATCTATAAAGTTATTTTTATGTCTTATTCACTTGCATGGAATGTGGAGTATTTTGTTAAGCAGATAGCGCACACAGCCAAAACAAGCTGCTTGGTTTGGCAATCTCAAAATAGAAAGTAAAGAGTTTTGGGTTTGTTTGTTTTTTACAAAACTCTATCAGAAGAATTTACCTCCCCCCCCCGCAAAAAAAACCACAACCCTAAATAAAGCCTAGTAATTCAAGAAGCAAAAAACTAAGTGATTCAGGGGATGGAAGATAAGAAGCTACAGCTAGCTGAACTGAAAGAGTATAACAATGTTAAGTTTCAGCATGTTAAATAATTGCTGACAGAAGGGAGAAGAAAATCTAAAGCACAGACTCCCTTTTATTTGAAACATTCTACCTGAAGAAAACCATCTGAAACCAATTCTGCCATCTTATACATTTTAACACAACAGACAGTACTGTACATGAAACAACTTCTCACTTCCTCTCCATCCAACACTGTTACCATTTCTATTTCTGCAGAAATAAAGGAAATATCTTGGCTATGTTGCCTGGGCATGGGGAGTGGCATAACTGAGCTCATCGGAAAAGCACCAGTCCCTTCATGCTCAGGCCCTGTTTGTAAGACAATCTTCTCAAATTTCTGGATGTCCTTGTTTGCCATCTGTAACATATATGACCACAACTCACTATTAGGGCTGATCCACACAATGGTGATCTCTCACACAGTGGTGGCATTGGTGCCGATTCTGGTTGTTCTGGGTTTGCGGTGGAACATTCTTTGTTCCAGATTTGAATAGGTCATCCCAGTATCTGCACCCACACATGGAGAGAGTATTGTATCTGTTGATGGATATACTGGGATGTATTGGATTGAACTTCTTGCAATACTATCTGTCCTACACATGCAGAATGGCTCACTATCAAGACAAACTGCCCTCCTCTTTTGCCTGTCTTTCTGCCAATGTCCTTGCCTACTTGACTGTCTCTTCCCTTCTTTATTTTATTTTACTTTATTTGTTTGTTTTTGCCCTCCTCTTTTGCCTATCTTTCTGCCAATGTCCTAGCCTACTTGACTATCTCTTCCCTTCTTTATTTTATTTTATTTATTTATTTTGTTTGTTTGTTTCATTCATTCATTCATTCATTCATTCATTCATTCGATTTATATCCCGCCCATCTGGGATATTCTACCACTCTGGGCGGTTTACAACATAAAATAACACAAAACATTACTATACAAGAATAACAGATGGTGTGCAGAAGTATAGTAAATAATAGATAGCAAAGAAGAAAGAATCAGATGTTGACAGGAGGGAAGGCCTGGATGTACATCCATGTTTTTGGTTGACTTTTAAAAGTACCCAGCGTAGGGGCCATGTGGATCTCCGGAGGGAGGTTATTCCAGAGGCGAGGAGCCACCACCGAGAAGGCCCAGTTTCGTGTCTTTTCCCTCCAGACCTCCTGGAGGGAAAAGCTATTTTACTCTCCATAAAGCATGGAATGCTTTACCAGGAGAAAAACACTCAGAAGGGAACATCATCAAATGATACACATCACAAAGTGCATGGATAAGAGTGGAACAATGCAGTACTAGGGCCCACACAAGAGGACTGTGTACTGGAGCAAACTGGAGCAAAGCAGAACAAAGTAGAGCACCACTTGACTGTGGTGTTTTTTAAAAAAGCCCCCCAAAAGTCCTATGTTGATTCTGTTGCTATCTGAATCAGCTCTGCATGGTGCGGACACACCAGGATCTAGTACCAGTATCATGGATGCAAGGAACGGTTGAACAAATGCTCAGTGTAAACAGGTTCTTAGACAGAGCAAGTGTTGTGTTTTAAGAGCAACTGTGACAAAAATAGATTGCCAAAATGTAAAACTCCAACAGGATCTTTTCTGAGACTTAAAAAAATGTTCTACCATTGGCTAGCCCTATTTTGAAAATGTCAGTTTAGCAGCATGACTGAACTCCCAAAATAAGAAAAGCTGGAAGTAATTACAGTGTTAGGTTTGTGACTTATTGCCTCTCAAGTCCAAAATGGTATGCTCTGGGGTACTCAAAGGAAGATGATGGGGACTTAAAATGTAGAGTTAAGCAAGCCCTGCCCTTTTCTGCTTTTATATTCTTGAGCCCAACGTCCATGGCTATATATCAGAAAATTCATCCTCATCATGTCAGGGAAAGAAATATTCAACTGCGGTGGTGTGCAGTTCAGTTCTTGTAGATGACATACGTCATCTTCTTCCTCAAATGAAATTCATTCAGGTCAAGCAAAATAAATAAAAGGAACACTACACAAACACACACATTATTTTACTCTTAGGGAAAAAAAGAGAAGAGGAAGCAATGTAAGATGAGGTACAGAGATCCTGAAGTCTACTCTAAAACAAGACAGACAAGGAAGAGCAGAAGTGTCAAAGACCAAGGGACTCTTAACAGTTTTCCATACTCAGAAGTTGGATTCTCTCCACTACAACTAAAGCTACCCTGCTTCCCCAAAAATAAGATCTAACCTGAAAATAAGCCCTAGTATGATTTTTCGAGATGCTCGTAATATAAGCCCTACCCCAAAGATAAGCCCCAGTTAAGTGAAACCCCACCCTCCGACATTCTGTAGCAACCAGAAGAAGATGACATGACTGTGTTTGAATAAATGTGGATTGTTGTACATGGGGAAAAATCCCCTGAAAATAAGCCCCAATGCATTTCTTGGAGAAAAAATTAATATAAGACCATGTCTTATTTTCGGGGAAACACAATATTAGAGAAGAAACATTCAAGTAAGTTGAGCTGACAGATTGCAACCTGGAAAAGAAACATGGAGGGCTAAAATTACATAATTCAGAAAAATAAGAGGCAGTTGTGGCTTTTCACACCCCTTCTTTCTGCTGATCTTGTGATCATATTCACTTCCCCTGTCCCAACTGGAAGTGGTGGGAAGAAGTACAGTGGTGCCCCGCTTGACGATTACCCCATCAGATGATGAAATTGCTTGACGATGAGTATTTTGCAATCGCTATAGCGATTGCAAAATGATATTTGTATGGTTTTTTTTTCACTTCATGACGACCGGGAACCGATTTTTCGCTTAACGGCGATTTAAAAACAGCTGATCAGCGGCTCTCAAAATGGCTCCCCGCTGTTTTGCTGACCTCATTTTGCAAGATAGGGAGCAGAAAATGGCCGCCTTATGGAGGATCTTTGCTGCACAATCAGGTATTTCCCCCATTGGAACGCATTGCCCAGTTTTCAATGCATTTTTTTGCTTAATGACGCTTTCTCTTAACAGTGATTTTGCTGGAATGCATTATCGTCGTCAAGCGGGGCACCACTGTATAGAAACTAAAGATGGGGACAACTCACCATTTTGGCGAGTCATCTCACTTCGTGAGTTGTCAAAAGTTGATGACTCAAGAAGCACGAAGTTGCCCCCATGAAGCAATGAATGATGAAGTCATTTGTTTACTCGGGGGGGGGGGTATTTTTTTTTTTAAAAAAAACCAACAACAACACCACCCCGCCAACACTCCTTTATCATAATCGCTGCCGCTAAAGTCTCCATCTGGCCTCCACAGTCGTGGCATGTAAAAAGGGAAACTGGCTACCCTTTGCAAAGATGGTGGCTGTGACTTCATTTAGGGTAGGGAAGCCGCAGATGCCATCTTCGCAAAGGGCAGCCTGGATTCCCTTAAGGCAGGCTAAGGAAATGGGGTGGTGGAGGCAGCGGTTGTGTGTGGCAGTGGGGGCTGAATTTTGAGGCAGCAATTACAGTAAGGAGGTGTTGGCGGGGGTTGGGGGTGGGGCTAAGGTAAGGAGAGGAAGGGAGATAGACTATGGAGGTGGGTGGCCACCTGCCTATTGGCCTGCCAATCAGCTGATCGGGGGCCAGCAGGCAGAATGTTTTTTTTTTTAAAAAAAAACTACTAAGGACAAATAAAAGCAGGAAAAAATTCATTGATTCATATTCGTCAGGACTTAAAATTTGATGAATACGGACTGATGACTATTTAATTAATCAGCTATTTTCGTGGGGAAAAACAATCCATTTTTATATTCGTACCCATCTCTAATAGAAACCTATCTTTCTGATAAAATCAGGATAAGGCCGCATGGTTGTGGAAACAATACAAATGCAGGAGCAGGTGATACCTTTAAGAATATAAAAACAAAAACACAAATAGCAATATTTCAATGATAAGTTATCTTATTCAAGGCTGTGCAACAAGTTCTTGTGGGCAGTTCCAAACTTATATGCTGTTTTTAATGCCCCGGATTCACATGGCTGAGGATGTAGAGGCCAGGCAAGCTTCTTAGATGGAAACAGCTGCAGCATGCATGTTGGTTTCAAGCTCTTCTTCAGCTAGCAATTTGGAATTTACGGCACATCTCTTAAAGGACTGCAAACCAGAAAGCTGTGCATCTTGACCTTGCGTCCAGTGTTAAGTGAACCTAGTAAAAGTATCAATACAAATCACTGGGGAATAAAACAACATAGGAACCTTACCTTCGTTTCCCAGGAGAAAGGAGCAGAATGCTCATCTTGCCAGGTGATATCCTGAAATAAAAAATAAGACATAATTATGCACAATTATGCCCATATACTTCTAAAACAATGAAGAGACAGAATTGAATAACAACTCGTAAGACAGAGAACAGAAGGATTTTGTGTCTGTTTCATTTGACATCACAGACAGGGAGATGGAAGACAGGAGGCACTTTTAAGATGCGGAGTCTGGAAGAGACTGGCTGTCATTACACACATCACCTTATTAACTCAATCTAGAATCAGATGTGCATTGAAATATCTAAAGGACGACATGTACATTTTAATATCCACTCTCTCTTAAAGGAGCTGTCTAAAAAGTTGCCATCACACTTTATATCAGACTTCACTGTAAAACTGTGGCATTCATTTTTTATTTAAGAATACTAGAACAGAAATTTATCGATACTTACTTCTTCATATTTATGTTATTTCCCAAGTCCGCTTAGTTAAGCAAGTGGAAAACTGTTCCCCTTATGTGTGGGAGTTTTGGACTGTTTTCACTACAACTACCAGAACTCAGCTGGAATTCCCTCAGCAAAAAAATCCAAGTTCTCAGAGTACTTTCAGGATACTGTACTCACCTGTTCCCCACCAAGGCTCTCTCTGCAGCAATGGCTATTAAACTATGAGGCACAACAAAGGCGGTGCTTTCTAACCTCCATGGAAACTGTGAAGCATTAGAGGACAGCATTAGGTCCTGTAGGGCCTTTCAAAAACTACCTCTCCTGCATCTGTGGCCCTTGGCCAAGCTCACCTACTTCCCAGTCTCACCTCCACGTCACGCTCTGCCTCACCTCCACCTCGCAACAAAACAATGGCAACAACTGTTCCCAAGCATCTGTCCATGTCTACAGCTCGTCTTTCTCTACTACTTCCTCCCTTCCTCCTCCTCGGCTCTGCTCTTTCTGCCTCATGCATGCCCTTGTCTTGCACCAGGTCTTTCTCCTCCCAATCCTCAACCATTGCTCTTCATCCCCCCACTAGCTCTGTTTGTTATGGTGGCCATGACCCTGAAACCCGAAGATGGGGAGGATGGCCCACCAGGGATGCAGACAGCTTCCCATTCACATGCATCATAAAATATTACAGTGACACAACTTCCACCTATTAAGTTTCCACAGTCAGAAAATTTAGGAGACATCACCTGATGTCTGTTCATTATACAGAGTGAACACCAAATGCACCATTTGTGTGGTATGCATGTTGGTTTTAAAAGTGGTTACCTTAAAAAAAAACCCTGCCCATTAGCAATGCCCAGAACTTTAATATGTGCAAAGTTTGATTTATAGCCTGACCCACATTAACAGCTACAGCAGACTGATAATAAAACTGCAATTACCAAATCTTCCTTTTACCATTATTATAGGTTACAAAAGCCAACTCTAATTCAATTATATGGAAAGGGAAGGTCAGTAGGTTAGAACAGTTCCTGGAAACACCTTTCAGCACTTTTGGAATCCCACCTTGACCCATGCAAAATGACATTAAGACAATGCCCCTTACTATGTTAGATGGCAAGTTGAAATAGAGAAGTCGTCTCTTGCATCTGTGAGGTCCATGCAGCTTATACAGTGGACCCTTGACTTACAGACGGCTTGACTTACAGACTTTTTGAGTTACAGACTTCTCTGGCTGCAAAATTTAGGTTTGACTTGCAGCCTGAGAATTGACTTACAGACCAGAAAAAAACCAAAATGGAACAAAAACGGCCTGTTACGGGATTAATCGGTTTTCAATGCACTGTAGGTCAATGGAGACTTGACTTACAGACTTTTTGACTTGAGAACCGCCTTCCAATAAGGATTAAGTTCTCAAGTCAAGACCCCACTACTGAAAGTGGGTTAAGATTTCACAAGTTAGATGAATGATCACCCTAAGAGTGAAAAGAGAAATAACCAAATGCTTTGACAAGCACTCAAGAATGTTTTATAATGAAGAGAGTGTATATGTGTTTGTCTACAATATTCCTGACTGTGCGGAGCTATGTCCTCTGTACCTACAAATCTATGAACAATGAAAGACGGGGGGGGGGGCAATTGAATGTTTGCTTGCACTGATTTAGGGATTTTGTATGTCCCTGTTGCCTTGTCCTTACATTACTGTCATAATTTATTTAACATGTTTTGAAGGCTCTCCTGGCCAGAAATATAATTCTTCCAATATAAGAATTCTTCTACTTCTTCTCTTATTTCTTCTAAGAAATAAGGATACAATAAAAATTAGAATCTATGGTAACAGCAGGAGTTAACTAGACTATCTAAATAGGGATGTGGTGGCGCTGTGGGTTAAACCGCAGAAGCCTCTGTGCTGTAAGGTCTGTAGATCTTCAGCTGTAAGATCGAATCCACGTTGACGGAGTGAGCGCCCGTCACTTGTCTCAGCTCCTGCCAACCTAGCTGTTCGAAAGCATGAAAATGCAAGTAGATAAATAGGGACCACGTTGGTGGGAAGGTAACAGTGTTCTGTGTCTAAGTCGCACTGGCCATGTGACCACGGAAGATTGTCTTCGGACAAATGCTGGCTCTTTGGCTTGGAAACGGGGATGAGCACCGCCCCCTAGAGTCAAACATGATTGGACAAAAACTGTCAAGGGGAACCTTTACCTTATCTAAATAGGAATGTCTTGCCTACAAAGAAAATGAAAAGATATGGGGTTTTTTTGGGGCGCAACGAAGTTCAGAAGGAAATTACAGCATTACTTGCCATGATGCGTGTGCCTCCCTTATGCGAATGTCATAAGTGATCCTCATTCCTCCCAACTTTGAAGGTGTTTAGCTGAACTCATAGGACTATAATCGTGAAATGTGGAGCACATATAAATTCCTACGTCACTGGCATAATTTCAGATCAAGTCAAGTCATGTTTGTTTATTAGAGCCTTTTGGGAGTGCGGTTTGAGGCCTGTGAAGGCTTTAGTGAAATGGTTTGAATGTTTTTTAATGTCTGAATGTTTTAATTGTGTTGTTTGATTTTAAACTGTTTGAAGTCTCTTAGGTTTAAAATAGTTTTATATAGCTTTGCAACCTTCCCTGAGAGCCTGTGATATAGGACAGGTTATAAACGTTTGTTTAAACAAACAAACAGCTCATTGCAGGGGTCTGAGGAGGAGTCTGTAGGTAACCTGTAAATTATGCAGCTGCTGATGGGAAATTCGCACAGCCAAATGTTTGAGTTCATACCAGGATTAAAACTTTTTTGTTCACATTTGTGAGTAGAGCAGTATCCAAGTAGGTCATTTGGCTCACACAAGTGTATTGTGTACAACTGTGAGATACTGCACTACTGTGATGTATACTTTTTCACTATTTGCAGCTGGACTTCTGTTTATGTACAGTATATTGTGTATGCCACAGCCCTTAGCCAACCAAGAAAAATGCCAAGTGTGTGTGTGTGTGTGTGTGTGTGTGTGTGTGTTATAAATACTGTGTTTAAAAAATCTAGCACTGCTCCCCTTAACTACTGCTTTTTGTTGGTGTTGCCTTCACGTTTTTCAAGTATTAACCAAAAATGTTTGTTGTGCAATACAGCTGCTTTTATGAGGTGTTCATAGCTGTCAACACAGAAGTCTTTTGTGTTAATTTTCGTGACAGAGCAGTTATTCGGCTTTTCAGTGCTCTGATGGATGATCTGATCTCGATTCATGTCATTCACTATCAGGAAAGAAAGATACTAGTGTCTCCCTGTCCTAAAATTCCCATGCTGCCCCACCCCCATAGGCTGCCTAGATTCTGTTTTAGACACATACTTTTCTGTGTTTGATGCTTTCCAGCTGGTTGCTGAGGTTAGCTTTGTGACCAAATTCTTGTTTGTGGATGACATTTTTGTCCTAAGTTCAATTGTGGAGAAGCCAGCAGGAAGGCTTTGGTTCCTTAAAATACACCTTTGGCTATTTTCCTTTGCTTCTATTTAGAGGAAGCACTCTGCTTCTTGCATGTTGATGTCAGGAAGGAAAGAAAGTTTTAGATAACCCGAAACATTAATTCTGCATTAGCAGAAATGCCCTGAAAAGAAAAAGCAATAAAGAATGTCACACTATGATTTTGGTTGCACAGCTGGTCAAGGAAGACACAAGCGGAGCCTGTAAACTCAGAACAGACTGTGCTTAAAATTCCCTATGCACTGAGGTCAATTCAGATATAACTCAACCTTTGCTCCTTTCAAATATTATGTGGTTACAAAGTCAGATGGAGATTGCATTGAACACTCTGAAAATCAGTGTTGACAGTAGGTGCCGTACAGAATGAGAGTAGGGAAAACTAATCATATAGACACTGTGTAATACTGTACAGAATTTTTCCTTACGAAGTCCACCACTTTTAAAATATATTTTAAATAGGTCTGCCAGTCTCTCTTGTCTACCCAACCACAGAGAAGGTCAAACTTTAAAGCAGGTGGGCTTCTTTCTTAGCACCAAAATGGCAAACTGCACTCCCAGAAATTCTCTAAATGGAACCTCCCCACAGCTCTTTTTGTTAAACACAAAATCCCTCCTTAAAAATACAAGTCAGTCATGTTTGTCTTTAAGCAACAGTCCTTCTCCTTCCACTTCCACTCCCCCCCCACAAGTGGCCCAGGGAACACTTGAAAACAGGGATGGTCTGTCATCAGGGAGGGGCACATGGACTACACTTATCTCTATGCAACAGAATCATGATATTGGAAAATGAAAAGGGGAACCCGAAAGGTAATCAAGTCCAGCCTCATGGAAAAGCAAGACAGCCACAGCTAAATCATCCCCTGATATAGAGCCATCCAATCTCTTATTTTTAAAAACCTCCAGTGAATGACAGTCCACCTCCTCCCCAGGCAGTCAAAGTAACTGATCTTATATTTTGAATCAGACTGGCAAACAAACACTTCTAAGCTGTTGTAAGGCAGGAATTTAAGGTGACCTAAGATCCAAAGGAACACAAAACTAGTTTGGCTTGCCTAAATAGTGCCCTCAGCCCCCCATTAATATATGGCCATGTCTCTGGAGACCAAAATCTTTCCAAAGGAGCTTATCATGTGACATGGGGGTCCATCTGCTAAAAATAGCCCTTAGGCTTCTAAATCTGTTCAAAATCCTTGGGTGTGCTGAATGTAGCTCTCTGAATCCCAGACAAGTTTTCTTCCATTTAAGCTATAACTATCACAAATACAGATCCCAGTGGGCTAAAATAAATAAAAATAAAACTAAGAGCAGGTTAAAATTTTTATGCACTTAACATCTGTTTATATGCTGTCATTTAAGCCAGACAGTTGAAGAAAAGGCCAGAGTCTGGCAGAACAGAACCCAATTTAGGTTCAATGATACTCGACTGACCTGAGAGGCCGTGCCAACCCAAGAGGTTGTCCCCAATATCTGGTTAATTAAAAATAAACAAACAGAGCTTCCATGTTCTGTAAATAATTCAGTCAGTGCCAGGAGAACACCTAGTCTTCATAAGTTGTGCAACACAGTGCATAAACTAGCAAAAATGGAAACCGCATTTTGGCAAATGGAAAAAGCTTTGAGACAGTGGCATGCCACTAATAAATGCAATCTAATAATTCTAATTGGCATGAACAGTGTCTCTACACTATACTGTCATAACAGCTTGAAAGCACTTGAATTGTCCTGGCTGCATCCAAGTAAGCCTGCATTGTGTAATTTGGTGGATTCAGCAGGAGAAAATTCTAAATGCCTCATCAAACTACAAACCCCATACTTCCAGAGGACAGAACCACAGTAGTAGTAGTAGTGGCATCAAACCTTGCGTTTTCAGCAAGAATGTACTATGCTTTATTAAGAGGCATCTGGTCCATTTTGCAATGTTTTTGCCATAAGGATCAACCTTCAAGTGCTGAGAGCAGCAAATCATAAAACCAACTAATGCTCAGGGCCATTTCATTCCATTCTCCACGCCCTTGTTTTTCCTGGCTGAAGAGTAGCAATGGAAAGCCTCATTTAATTTTAGAAGGTGTCTTAAAAAAAAAAAAGAACACAGAATATTCACCATTATTATACCACAAGATTTTCTTCAAGAAGCATCAAAAGGACTGCCAGATTCCTTGAGTCAAATGTAAACATTTCCTTCAGTCTAATTTTAGCAATTGCTTCCTACTGCCTGTTCCTAAACAAGAATTTAGCCATCAGTAGATCCTTTCTAATGAATTACTTTTTCAGGATGTACTTTTCATCTTCTTGAAGTATTTCCTTTTTAAAAAATACTTTTACAATTTTTTTTAAGTCACACTTTCCATCTTTGTAGTGAATATTTGCCCCCCCTGCCCAAATTCAAACCAGCTTCTCTTTACGGGAGTTCAGCTATATGCTGGGAAGAGGATGGTACCAAATCAGTTGTTCTCAAAATGCGTTCTGGAATCTTAGTATGCCTTGGAATCATAACAGAGTCAGAAGATCCTTCAGAAAGGAGATACAGTACATAAGGCTGGACAAAACACTGCATGACCATCAAATTACACTCAGTTTTCCCCTGTAGCATGCAACCGTGGGACAGTGTTGATGTTTCTAACCCAGTACAGCAATTTACAAGGCCTAACCATCTGGCCAAAGCTCTATGTAAATTCGAACACCAGAGAACATGTGCCAGAACTTATCCTGGATTTCCTCAAGTTTAGAAAATAATGAACAAGGGTACAAAAGATCTACAAAGTTTTGAGACACAGTTGTACAAGAGAAAACTAGAATCCCATTTTAAATGTTTTCCAGCTACATCTCTCGGGTTAAAAGGTCTTAGTATAAATAAATAAATGAGACTTTTTAATTTATGTATTTATTTTATTCAAAATATTTTTACAACACCTTTCTCCCCAAAAGGACCCAAGGAGATGAGAATGGAGAAGGTCACATTCAAAGAAAAATGGATCCTTGGGGTTTCGCTGACTTTCCTTGATTTCATTAGCCAGTCCATTTGGAAAACAACAATGTCATTCCCAAAATGACAGTCTAGTCCTTGAACTCAGTTGTTAGCAAAACCACTAAAGGCAAATATTATCCATCAAAATGGAAACTGAATAGTCTTTTGTAAAAGATTTTATTAGCAGCATGACTTCTGAGTCTTGAAGTTTGTTCGTTTGTTTGTTACATTTCTTTCCTGCCCATCTAGACCAAAGGTATACTCTGGACAGTTTACAAATTTAAAAGCAATAAAACCACTAAGTATACACACAGTTTCCCTGAAAATAAGACCTAACCTGAAAATAAGCCCTAGTATGATTTTTTAAAGGATGCTTGTAATATAAGCCCTACTCCCAAAATAAGCCCTAGTTAAGTGAAAGCCTGCCCTCCACCATTGTGCAGCAACCAGAAGAAGATGACGTGACTGTATTTGAATAAACATATATTGTACATGAGAAAAAAATAAAGCATCCCCTGAAAATAAGCCCTAATGCGTTTTTGGAGCAAAAATTAATGTAAGACCCTGTCTTTTTTTCGGAGAAACATGGCATTATAAATCCAAGATGGGAAAAGTGTAAAAAATTAAGATAGGGCAGGAAGGAAAGCCTGCCGAAAAAGCCAGGTCTTAAGTTTGTTCCTGAAAACACCCAAAGAGGGAACTGTCTTACAGTTCAAAACCTGCCTCCCATCTTCAAGTGCCAGTCCTTATATAGCCCAAAGGGCACCATTTAACCAGGTAGAAAACACTCAGAAATGGTCTACCACTCCCTTCTTCTAAGGGTGCCCTGGGACTGTGTGGCTTCCCAAGGCCACAAACGCTGGTTCTTTCCTTAGGAGGCACAGTGAACAACCAAACTCCTAATCTCTGGCTCTGCAGCCACATACCTAAGCCACTGAACTATCCAGCCAAAACTTTTTGACTTTAGAGAAGTAAAATACATTTTTAAAAAACAACCAACCAATAAAAATCCTTCCATTGCCACTTCAGCTAAATCACTTTTGATTCTCTTGGTATAATTTGTTCCCTAACTTGTTTTACCCGCCATCTTTTCAAATATCCAAAAACTATAATAATATAGTGCAAATACATCTACTATCTTCTCAACCTGCTTCATAAGCCCCACCCCTATGACAGCTTTTGTCACAATGAACTAGCTTACCACCCCTTAGTGACAAAATAGAGCTCTTAGACTTGACATTGTTCGTTTGTAGAAATTCAATACATTCACTTCCTACTCCACAGCAGATGTGGTAACTCGAAATACATAACCTAGTTGGAAGAGAAAGCAAAAACACCCACAATGAACTGTGTTCTTATCATGATCTCACTCATACAAAGCCTTTTTGCTTTTCAGAACACAGGAAAAGCACCTTTCTCAAGTCCTTTCAGCAGTGATGCACAACCAAATGAGATTTTCTGATAATAAACCTACCTCACCAACAATAAAAGAAACAGGATGCACTAGCATGCTATTGGAACATCCTTTAGTGACAGTGTTTATGAACTACTGCAAATTCAGAGCAGCTTTAGCACCTGTTGAAGAAGGTTTAACAAAGCCACTCCACAAGTTTAGAAAAATCAAGAAACTGACAGCTGCTGTCTTAGGCACACATTCCTCAGAGTAAGTCCCACTGTGGGACTCAGGTGTGAGTAACTGTGCCTAGGACTGCACCCTAAGTTAAGAAGCAGCAAAGTCCTCCTTTAGGTTTGCACTGTGAAAGGTGCCGAGGCTTACAAATAAATCATGCATGTTCTCAACTTACAAAAACTAACAGGATGCGAAATTCACAAAGTGGGAAATGAGAGTCAGCAGCAGCAGCACTTTATACATGCTCAAAAGAGCAAGGCACGACCAATGAAGACCATTTCTAGAGAAAGGTTCTTTGAAGCTTTGTTTGGAAGCAACCAAAGGCTCTTTCTTGTCCCAATCGGATTTCTTTTTTCCCCTCTGCACTGCCCTTCTTCCTTCTCAATCGCAGGGCGGTTTAAGGCTACATGACTGCTAAGGCCCAGGGCAGACAACAATAAAGCGTAGCCCTGAACATGTGCAGAGCGTTAGTTTGTCCGGGACGGCGCCTAAGGAGGGGGGACTTACCTCGTCTCCGAAATGTACCACTTTCTGGCCGGTGTTGAGGCGCAGGTTCGGGTAGCAGACCGGGGGCGGAGTGCTCTGGGCGGCCCCCCGATGCGCCGCATACCGGGCCTGGATGTGGGGGCCCACCAGGCTCTTATCGATGATCTCGTCCTGCTGGCGAGGCGGCAGCCGCTCCCACTCGGGCCCGTAGCGCTCGCGGATCCGCTCCTTCTCCGCCATGATCTTCCGCGCCATGGGGTTCAGCGACGAGAAGTAGGTGAAGCGCTTACGCTCCCGCTCGTCCAGCGGCCGGTTGCCGTTCATGACTGCCGTGCGGGACGCCGCGATCGCCGCCGCCATCGAGGCCATCGCCGGGCAGCACCGCGCCAGGCACTCGCCCGGACTCCCAGACTGGGCGCAGCCAGCGGCCGAGGGCCAGGGCGGGCGCCGGAAAAACTCCGCCTCCTCGTCCTCTTCCTGGCCGTCGCCCTCCTCTTGTTGCTTCTTTGGGATACGCGCGGCCTCCCTCTCGGCCCACGGGAAACCCTTCGCAGCTCCCGCGGCTCTTAAGGACCGCCTCCCTTTCTCTGGCCCATTTGAGCCCCTTTCCAGGCTCCTCCCTGCTCCCGCGGAGGCGGGTGGCGCGGCGGGATGATTTCGCCGCCCAGGCCGGCGCTTGGCACCTTCTCCTTAAAACGAGGCCACGTTTTTTATCATTTTCTGAGGGACGAAACTGGCCGTTGTTAGGAGATTCCATGGAAACTGTCGGGTCCTTTATCAGCAACACGAAAAACAACGGTACCTCAAAACAAAACATGTATTTCTTTCTCTAGTCAGCATTCAGGGCTACTAAACTAAAAATTTTAGAAGAGAAACGGATGAACGGTCACAAATGTGACATCAAAACTCACAATACACAGATACCTGTGTCTCTACCCATTTCAACCTATCAGGACACTTTATAGAAGATTTGAAAGTCGCTATTTTAGAACAGAATCATTACAAATCAAGATACAGAGGGAAACAGCTGAGGTAAGATTTATAGGCATGAGGGACACCCATATAAATGGACTAAATATAAGCCTAGGTCTCTTATTTGTTGTTTAGTTGTTAAGTCGTGTCCGACTCTTCGTGACCCCATGGACCACAGCACGCCAGGCCCTCCTGCGGGTTAAACCGCAGAAGCCTCTGTTCTCTAAGTTCTGTAGATCTTCAGCTGTAAGATCGAATCCACGCGACGGAGTGAGCGCCCGTCGCTTGTCCCAGCTCCCGCCAACCTAGCGGTTCAAAAGCATGCAAATGCGAGTAGATAAATAGGGACCACCTCGGTGGGAAGGTAACAGCATTCCGTGTCTAAGTCGCACTGGCCATGTGACCACGGAAGATTGTCTTCGGACAAAACGCTGGCTCTATGGCTTGTAAACGAGGATGAGCACCGCGCCCTAGAGTCGAACGACTGGACAAAAATTGTCAAGGGGAACCTTTACCTTTTACCTTTATATAACTTGCGGAGCAGCCTTCCTATATGCTTATTTATACCGTGGTGAGTAGAGACACTGGGCACAATCGTACTGCCTAGAGCAGTAAATTGCACTAGTAGGCCCACATAGGGGCTTTGTGAGTCAATTCCTACCTCATTCCATTGATTCAGATTGGTGTACACTAACTGTACTGTTCTAGTGCGATTTACTAGGTGAGAGAACAGGATTTTGGCCATTGCTTCTACACAAACACAAGGGCTCTGCTGAGGAAGAAGAGCTGAGGAAGAGGGGATGCACCTCTACCAGAAAAGCCCCAGAATGGCAGCCTTATCACCATGACCCACTGAAAGGAGTGCTCACCTCCTGAGCTGTGATGGCAGCAAAATCCACATGTGCATACACGAGAGAGAGCCAACAAATGTGTTAATGAGAGCGAGCTCCACCTACCCACCCCCATACATTTAAATGTGTTCGTTACTTAAATGTGTTCACATTTAAATGTGATTGCTCTTAGGTCACAGGAAGAAGGGCCACCCCTACCACCAAGGAAGTGTCTGCCTCAAATGTTGTGAAAGGATAGTGGATTATTTTGCTATAATTGCCTTTTTGCTGCCAAAAAGTGGAGAGAGGTGTTTGCAGGATTTTCTGCACAGTCTGCCAAGATAACCTGGCTGGCTGAGACTATTCTGAGTCTTGATTTGGGTGAGCAGGAAGGGATTTGCATCAGGTTGCAAAATGTCCTGGGATGGCTATGCAAAGATAGCAGTGACCTAGCTACAGTCATCTATTCCAGCCCACTTCCAATGCAGAAACCGTCTCCTGTTTAAAAACCTTAAAGGTGCCTAGAGGGAGATATAGTATTCTAGGTGATTTGATAGCAATATGTAAGCTCCCAATAAAGGCAGACACAATTCCCTTATTTGGTGTTTAAAGTAAACCTACCAATTCCTTCTTGTAAGTAATTGCATAAAATAGTCACAGCAAAACACCAACAACCAAATTTGTGCAATTAAAAATTAAAAACAACACAGCAATTATATTCTTTTACTGCTGCATGTATTTCAGATTTTAATAATAATATAATTTATTGTCACAGTATACCCATACTTCCTTTCCTTCCAACTTTAAAAATAATTATTGGTGCGTGCTCTGCAAAAGACCTGCAGTTGTTTAAAATAAATGCAATGAAATACTTGGCAGGTCAAACAACACAATAAGCTGCCAACTACTTTTTGAACACGTCCTTTGTAAATCCTTGAGCACTGGCTAAGATCCAGGAATAAAGTGATCCAGATGATTGTGTTGGTATGCCATTAATAATGGTGTAAAAAACAAGACCCTCTAGTAAAAGAACATAGACTCTTCTAGGCTTACATGAGATACATGTTAATATTCTGGATGGAAAAAACAGGAATTAATTTCATATTTGTGGGCAGAATGTGGTACGGTTTTTCGCCATTAATTGCCAGATTTCTCCCTCAATAAATAAAACTTAAGTACCTTGTGAATCTGATCTTGTGTATAAACCATTGGTCATTCAACGAAAAGTTGGATTCTTTTCAACTAATGCAGAACTAAAGAAAAACTGTTCCCTTCTTTGAGATCCTTCGAGGAAGACTCTTTGAGATTGATGTAGATTTAACCAATATCATTGATTCGGTACATGCCAATGGACAGGTTCCTTAACCTCTAACTGTAGTTCTTCGAGTAGTTATCTCTGAATACAGACATATACGTACATTTCATGCCTGCATGGACATCCTTAGAATCATCAAGAGCAATGATTGCCAAACCTGGGTCCCCAGACATTCTTGGACTGCAACTCTCAGAAGCCCTTGCCAGCACAACTAGTGCTGAAGGCTTCTGGGAGTTTCAGTCCAAGAATATCTAGGGACCCAAGCTTGAGAATCACTGCTCTAGAGCTTTAAAAAGTGTTAGGACACACCATCTTCACCACATATGCTCCTCACCCCTTATGTCCTCAGTTCCGTTTGCCTGCTGATACAGAAAAACAGGAGTTGTGTGGCAGACCGAGGGGAGGATAGGTGGGTTGTGTGAATTCACAGAAGACCACTCAAAGAACTACTGTTACAGGTAACCAACCTGTCCTTCTTCATGGTCCCTGTGAAACCACACATATGGGTGACTGGCAACCTCACCGGTGGATGGGATGTCATGCCAACACTCAGAAAAAAAATCACTGCTCTGCCAAAAGTAGCATCAAGTTTTGCCCTGTCATCCAATTTATAGTGCTTGATGATTGTCGAATGTTGTGAATAAGTTGCTACTTTACATGTCTCCCCAACTGAACTCTTGAGAAATTCCGTAGATGCAGCAACTGCTCTAGTAGAATGCCCCCCATAAAGAATTGACTAGAAATAAGAGAGATTTGTGGAGATACTGTATAGACTAGTAATAAACACCGTAAATAAAAGTGCATTAGCTTCTACATTATTTTAATCACAATTAGATAGTGCTCATATATTCCAAATAGGTACACAATCCTCTTCATGGATTGCTGCCTTGTCATGGCAAAGGGGCTTGAGTAATTCAGAGAAGCTATGAGCTATGCCGTGTAGGGACACCCAAGACGGACAGGTCATAGTGGACAGTTCTGACTAAATGTGATCCACCTGGAGCAGGAACTGGCAAGTCACTCCAGTATCTTTGCCAAGAAAACTCCATGAACAGAAACAAAAGGCTAAAAGACATGATGCTGGAAGATGAGCCCCTCAGGTCGGAAGGCGTCCAACATGCTATTGAGGAAGAGTGGAGGACAAGTACAAGTAGCTCCAGAGCTAATGAAGTGATTGGGCCAAAGCCGAAAGGATGTTCAGCTGTGGACCCACCTGGAAGTGAAAGGAAAGCCCAACGTTGCAAAGAAAAATACTGCATAGGAACCTGGAATGTAAGATCTATGAACCTTGGCAAGCTGGATGTGGTCAAACAGGAGATGGCAAGAATAAACATTGACATCCTGGGCGTCAGTGAACTAAAATGGATGGGAATGGGTAATTCAATTCAGATGATTATCATATCTACTATTGTGGGCAAGAATCCCGTAGAAGAAATGGAGTAGCCCTGATAGTCAACAAAAGAGTGGGAAAAGTTGTACTGGGACTCAATCTCACAAATGATAGAATGATTACAATACGAATGCAAGGCAGACCTTTCAACACCACAGTAATCCAAGTTTATGAATCAACCACCAATGCTGAAGAGGCTGAAATGCACCAATTCTATGAAGAATTACAACACCTTCTAGAACTGACACCAAAGAAAGATGTTCTTCTTCATTATAGTGGACTGGAATGCTAAAGTAGGGAGTCAAGAGATGAAAGGAACAACAGGTAAGTTTGGCCTTGGAGTTCAAAATGAAGTAGGGCAAAGGCTAATAGAGTTTTGTCAAGAGAACAAGCTGGTCATCACAAACACTTTTTTCCCAGCAACAAAAGAGGCGGCTCTACACATGAATATCACCAGATGGGCAATACCGAAATAGATTGATTACTGTAGTGTCCACCCTCGTGCCCCTTTGCTTGACCTTCAAGCCTCAGAGCACAAGAAGGCAAACAATCTCTCTTTTCACTGCTGCCACCAGGCAATCTCTAAATCACCATTACCTCAGAAAGATTCAGGTCCACACTTCAAAGTCTTTTAAATAAAACTTTGGTTCATTGATTACAGAGATTGATTCATGAATGTCTTCATTAGCTAATCACACCTCAAAAGAACTCCACATTCTATCTACTTCTCCCTCTTATCATTGTTCACTCTCTGTTACTCTCTCTCTCTTACTGCCTCTTGCTGACTCAGGCTCCGCCTCTTATAGCATCTCTCTCGGCTCTGCCTCTCAGCAATATGAATGTGCATGAGCTATTACATAATATAAAATGAATCATAGACCTAATAAAATGGGGAACATTACAATTACGTTCTCTGCAGCCAAAGATGGAGAAGCTCTATACAGTTGGCAAAAACAAGACCTGGAGCTGATCGTGGCTCTGATCATAGCAAAACTCAAGCTTAAACTGAAGAAAGTAGGAAAAACCACTGGCTAGGCAGGTATAATCTAAACCAAATCCCTGAAGAATACACAGTGGGAGTGAAGAACAGATTTAAGGAAATAGGTTTGGTGGACAGAGTGCCTGAAGAACTATGGACGGAGGCTCGTAACATTGTACAGGAGGCAGCAACAAAAACCATCCCAAAGAAAAGGAAATGCAAGAAAGCAAAGTGGCTGTCCAATGAGGCCT